GGGATCGCAACCCTCAGTATTGTGCCCGTACCGGACCGGGACCGGCAACGGGATCGCAACCCTCGGTGCTGTGCCCGCACCTCGCTCAGCCAGTGAGGGGAACCAGTCTGTATGTGGGATCCGAACCCTCGGCGGGAGCGCCGTCGCGCTCCCAAGCAGCGCACTGTAGCAGTGCGCCACCGGGCCAGCCCAAGGAATAGTTTTTATGAGAGTAATATTTGTGCTTCGATATATTATTTTCTATGAAATAGCATCCCTACCCAAGAAATAGATAACTGGTGATTGGGAGATAGAAATGGGAGGGAAAAATACTTTCTACTGTATATCCTTTTATGCTTTTTGAATTTTTTATCTTGTGCCTGAACTACCCCTGCAAAATCAGAATAAAATGTAATTTAAAAAAATAGTATTCTAACTTTCGTAAATATTGTGGTTAATATAAAACATTTGGACTTTAGAACATAAATGCTTGTTAAGTAAACATTATTAAATTATATCATTTCTAGAAATATTCAGGTCGACTCTAGAACAGTGCTGTACAATAGAACTTTTTGTCATAGTGGAAATGTTCTGTATCTGTGCTATACAATATGGTAGCCGTTGCTATTGAGCACTTTAAATTTAGGTGGAGCAACTGAGGAATTGAATTTTTAATTTAATTTTAATTAACATAAATTCCGCATGTGGCCAGTGGCTACCTTATTGGACAGCACAGCTCTAGAACATAATTGTCATGGGCTGGGCATACCTTGCTATACTGATGTACTCCTCAAAAATAACTAATTATAGAAAGCACCAAGATCAAGTGTTTGGATCCCCATACCAGCCAACTGCCAAAAAAAATAAATAAATAAGTATGAAATTGTATTTTTTTGATAAGGTTTGGTATAGCCTTCACGATATAGTATTGTATCCTTTGGCTGATGTAAAAGCCAAGGTACAAAGTGTATGCTGAAAGACCTTACTTTTAGATGTGATTAGATGTTTTCTATGCATTGAATAAACTGCCTTTCGATTGTAGTTTCTTAAATAGTATTGCTCTTCTCTTTATGAGAGAGTTATTTTATTTTTTCTCTGTAATACCTATGGATTCTGCTTTTGTAGCATGGTCACCTATTGAGTATGAAACCTGTTTAAAAACTAATCTCGGGCCGAGCCTGTGGCGCACTCGGGAGAGTGCGGCGCTGGGAGTGCAGGAGCGCTCCCGCCGAGGGTTCGGATCCTATATAGGGATGACCGGTGCGCTCACAGCGCTCACTGGCTGAGCGCGGTGCGGCCAGTCTCAAAAAAAAAAAAGGACAAAAAATAATAATAAAATAAAATAAAATAAAAATAAAAACTAATCTCATTATTATTATTATTTTTACTGTCCCCATTTTAAAGTGTTTAGATGTTAATTCTTTTTTTGTTTGTTTGTTTTGGCAGTTTGCACCTGGGTTTCAGGTAGGAGATGGAATTGGAATGGATTTAAAACTATCAAACCATGTTTTCAATGCTTTAAAACAACATGCCTACTCAGAAGAACGTCGAAGTGCTCGCCTCCATGAGAAAAAGGAGCATTCTACTGCAGTAAGGATTTTTAGATTTTTTTTTTCTTTAACGGAAAAATTCATATCAGAAAACTTCATGTTTAGGGGAAAAAACCAAAATTTTATGTTTGATATTTTTTCATGAGATTGGCTTTTCAAATCAAAGATATAAATATAACCCAAGTGGCTTTGCTATTTGACTTCTCAAATGTAACATAATAGTTATTAATCACTTATTAAAAATTAACATTTTAGTGGTCATAATTTAGACCGTATAGTTTATATTGTAGCTGAATGTTCCAGGATGTTTTAAAATATTGTTTCCTATTACATTATTGACATATTTATAACTTCATAGTCTCTAATGTCTTACATTAATGAAGGTAGTAGTGTCTGATATTTTGAGAATAAACTAATTTATTAAACCTTTAGAAAAACTAATGATAAGAACGGTAGAGAGCTATTGAAACTTAAGGGATAAAATAAGATTTTGACCAAGCTCTAGTATCTGACTTTTAATGTTTCTTTTAGACATTCACTTTCAAAGACATACATTAGTGTTGTATTCATAGGAATGAATTGTATCTTGACAGCACTCTTTTAAGAGCCTGTTGTATATACATCTAGGTAAATTAAATAATAAAGGTTAAAAAAGTAAATATTTATTTTGAATGTTAAACATTAGAAATGGCTCAGAAAATATTTTATGATTTACTTATAGTGCTTTATCTTTTGCAGGAAAAAGCAGTTGATCCTAAGACACGTTTGCTTATGTATAAAATGGTCAACTCTGGAATGTTGGAGACAATCACTGGCTGTATTAGTACAGGAAAGGAATCTGTTGTCTTTCATGCATATGGAGGCAGGTAAACGAGTACAACACAATACCATCATGTGAACAAAAACTTAGTTTTTTCTACCGCAAATTGATGGAATTACAGAAAAGCAAAGTTAATGCTGCATGGCAAGCAGATTAATTTAATTTAATTTTATTTTTTACTTTGTTTTGACTGGCTGGTACAGGGATCTAAACCCAAAGACCTTGGTGTTATAAGGTTGTACTCTAACCAGTGTCAGAGTAATTTAAAAGTGTTACTGTAGAAAGTTGAAACAGTATAG